CATCTCAAAGACAAATAATCCCGGAAGCGGGGCTATCTGAAGAATAGTGGCATCAGGACTGGAGACAGACCCATTTAACACTTAAGTGTGCTTGTTGGAAATCAGGGGGACAGGGCACACTTTCTGATGAAAATCAAAGACTACAGCCTCCACTATGATTACAAATCGCTAAAAAGAATGCAAAAATTCTCACAACTGGACCAATAAACAGCATCATGGTAAATGGAGAACAGATCATCAATGTTGTCAAGGATTTCATTTTATTTGGATCCATAATCCAGTCACGTAAACAAAATTCAAGAAATCAAACTTTTTGCTTTGGGCAAATTCACTGCATAAGACCTCTTTAAAGTGTTAAAGAACAAAGATGTCACTTTGAAAACTAAAGTGTGCCTGACCCAAGGCATTTTTTCAATCACTTCAAATTTATGTGACAGTTGAACAATAAAGAAAACCAGAGAAGAATTGGTATGTTTGAATTACAGTGTTGACAAAGAATACTGAAGAGACCATATTGGTACTGGCAGAAGAACACACAGATTTGTTTGTTGTGTCTTGGAAGAAGTACAGCCAGAATGCTCCTTAGGAATGAGGAGGGCAAGGCTTCATCTCATCTATTTTGGACATGTTGTCTGGAGAGCCTAGTGCTTGGAGTAAAGGACATCTTGCTTGTTCCAGAAGAGGGTCAGTGAAACAGGGGAAGACCTTTGATGAGATAAGATTGACACAGGGCAGCAACAACAAGCTCAAACATAACAATTGTGAGGATGGCCCAGTGCTCCATTCTATCGCACAGAAAGTCACTATAAGCTGGACCAATATCTCAGCACATAACAACAATAGCAACCAAGAAATCCAGAGCTTTATTCTCTGGTGAAGGTAAAGAAAAGGTGTCTCTGGATTATGGGACATCAGGCTCAGAAGTAAGCAAGGAGATGCTGCAAAACAAGGGTGATTAGTTGAAAAAAAATGTATATTTTCTGAATGCTGAAGGCTATCTTTCTTACTCATCTTACAGAATTCTGAAACACAGGCCTTTATCTTTCAGACATAAAATGAGACATCATCTTTGGAAAATGTGACCAGTCCAGATAAACTAAACATATCAAGAAAGCTCAACAAGATTACACTGCACTGAAACTCACAGGTGAAAACCCTGGCGACAAGCTTTTTTAGCACAATATTAAAAAACTAAAATGTTCAAACTCTAGGCATAAATTCCACATTCAAATGGAAAACCTGAACTTACAAATTTCAATTTATCTCACATTTGATTTGTTTTCCTATATGAGGGGGTACTCCCAAATATGGATTTTTTTCTCCCCAAATCTATTATTAAAAAAATTTTTTTTTTTTACAAAGCAACCTAATCACCTTCAAAGTGCTCTCCATTACACTTAACACATTTGTCCAATCTGTGATTCCATTCTTTTACATTCTGGTAGTTGTTTTTATTTTTATTTAATTTTTAATCATTTAATTAGGGGCTTATACAACTCTTATCATAATCCATACATACATCAATTGTGTAAAGCACATTTGTACATCCATTGTCCTCATCATTCTGAAAACATTTGCTCTCCACCTAAGCCCTGTTTCAAATTTATGTTTGGATAGATGACAGCACCTCCCTCATTTTTTTCTTCACCTCTTTTACATGAAATTGCTATCCTTTCATGTCCCTTTTCAATCGCAGAAACAAAAAGAAGTCACGTGAAGCAAGGTCAGTTGAGTAAGGTGCATGGAGCAAGAGAGGCATGCTGTTTGGTTTTTCTTTGCCAAAAACTGGTGCACTGAGATGGCTGCATGAGCAAGTGCACTGCTATGGTGGCAAAACCAGTCCCTGTCACACATCAGGCCTTTTTTGGTGACACACTATTACACAATATTCTCAAACTTCTAAATAGAAATCTTGATTAAAAGTCACCTGGTGGAACAAACTCCAAATGCAAAACAAATCAATGTTTTTGTCCATTCGGGAAGTTAATGGACATCCAAAATGAGCTTTGTCATCAATCGCTATTTCACCTTTTTTGAAACGAGAAAACCACTCATACACTCGAGTTTTCCCACAGTGCTGTCCTTGTAAGCTGTGTTCAACATCACAACAGCTTCTGCAGCATTTTTCCTGAGCAGGAAACAAAATTTCACAGCTGCACATTGTTCTCTTAAATCGGCCGTCACAAGGCCATCACAATTTCAAGTGAAATTGCTTTTATGAAAAAATTTGCTGTGACCAGAGGACCTTCCCAGGTGACACCACAGGGAGCACTAACTCAGAGCAAGTGGCTCGATGCTTGCCCAGCGGGGAAAATGCGTAACGTGAAAGCTCCGCTCCTCAGCACAATTCCAGTTTTGGGGGTACCCCGGCTTACGTACATGCCCTTGGCAGAGCTGGAGACTGCCAGGAAAACAGACAGTAAGTCACAAAGCAAAGCAGCCTGACAATCTTCCTTGAGTCACATAGTTCCAGTCTTTCTGCTAAATCTTGACCTGGAACTTTTCTGGAAAAAAACCTGGATTAAACTCTTGGATAATACCACAATTAACAACATTTCACCATTCCAGACTTTCTCTATTGTCTTCTTCCATCGGAAACAAAAAAAAAGCCAAAAATCTGGACATTAAAGGGAAATGGACAAGCAGTTCTGCCTACAAAAAAAAGAACACAAACCAACAAGTTTACTAATAACCATCTAAAGTTAAGTAAATCCTTTTTTATATTACCTTTTAGGTTTAGTTAGCAGGAAGCAAATTGAGTCTTCTCTACTTGTAATTTTGCCAGATGATTTATTGCTAAACCAGCAGTGTAAGAAGGCACTGAGTGATCCCTATACTTTCTTTCTCCTGAAACTATGACAAATTCTGGAAACATCTACACATCTGTGTGTGTATTAGGTAAAACTTTATCATAAAGCAGTGTCTCATTATCTAGTCCTTATACAACCAGTGGAAAGATTTGTGCACATAAAACGTGGGGTTTTTTTAATGGTAAGGGTACATTTAAAATAAATTTAAATAACATTTCCGTATTTCCCTGAGACCAAACAGAACTTGTGAGATGTATGAACTGTCCCTGACTGCCCAAATAATCGTTTATCCTTTTCTACAGAACTGAAGATTAATTTTAAAAGCAGTTTAAAACACAAGTAGCTCTAAAAAGAGAGAAAGAGACACTCACTAGTCGGTCTCTGTCATTCTGGAGTGATGCCATGGCATTTTTAAAACTCTGTACTTCAGCTGGGCTGGTTACAGGGTGGGCTGCAGACCACCACTTTCCAGCCTCTGCCTTGCGGAATCTGGCCAGCTCACTCAACAGGTCATCTCTTTCACTCTGCAGACTGGCCAGAGCCTTGGACAAAGACTGCAATTGGTTGTAAGACTCTTCTAGTTGTGCAGACAAGTGAAACAGTTGTTCATCTTTCGATAGAAGCTGTTGGTTA